TTTAATGGCTCAGTATGTTTATTAAGACCAAGGACTCTATCGTTATACCAAGTAAATCATCTAATTTTAGTTTTAACAAACGTCAAAAAAACTATTCATTTTCTCAAACTTCGATGAATTTTTTAAATTAAATCACTTGTCGTAAGATCGTAATATTTTATATATCGCGAAAAAAGTTCCATAAAAATCGGCTTAATTTTTTTTTTCAGCAGTTAATTAATTACAAGAAACCGGCTTGGTAGATTTTTACCTAAAACTAGTCAGTATCATTCCAAACTATCTTTCGAACAGTTTTGGATTTTTTTAAAATCGATTCGGTAGTGTGAGCATAAATGTGGACGAAAAGTTCGGCAGATCGTCGCACAAAACTGACAAACGATAAACTTCATCGAGATACATCAAATGGCTTTTAAATTCCTAAAATCGGTTAAGATGTTTTTGAGAAAACATCGATCAAAGTTCTAATTTTGACAAATGCCAAAAAAGACGATACTAATTTTTGCAAACTTTGAAGAATTTTTAAATTTAAACGACTTGTTGTAGGGCCGTAATATTTTAGTATGATCTATAAGACTATGGTATCTACAGACAAAAAATAATCATAAAAATCGTCGAAAAATATTTTAACACTTTATTACAAGAAAACCGTCCGAAGGATCTTTACCAAAAACTAATCAGCACGATTCATAACCAATATCTTTCGAACAGTTTTTGAATTTTCAAAATCGATTCAGAATTGCGGGCTAAAACGTGGACGAAAATTTTATCACTTTTCTGCTGTTTACAAAGAAACGGCTTGGCTGATCGTCGCGCAAAATTGATAAACGCTAGTCCTCATCGAGATACATCGAATAGCTTTTGAATTTTTGAAATCGGTCCAGCCGTTTTTGAGAAAACGTCGATTTACGACAAAAAAACTGTTCACACACACACACATACTTTTTCCAAATTTGGTCTCATTCGATTCAGAATGGCTTGAAACGTCGAGAAAACATAAAATTAGAATTTTTTGATGAAAACAAACTTTTTCTTCGGCAAGATGAAAATAATTGAGCTAAAAAATGCGTTGAAATTCAACTTCTGGCTCACTACTAAAAATTTAATTTTTGAACATTTCCACTATCGGTCTCACGACATATTCATGTTCCGTCCTATTTCTAGTTCGTTTGCATCCCGTGTAATTTGCGTTTGTTTTTCAATTTACTTAATAACATGATTATATTAATTTACTGAATCACATCTTTGACAAGACAGTAGTTTATGTTAGATGGAAGTCTTCGTGACCGTAAAGTTGGTCATTCGTGATATAAATATAATGCATTCGTACTATGCCCGATGCGAAATGTAAATATAAACCAGCGTGTGTTTTATGCGATCTCTTCTCCTTCTGATGCTGTTTGACTTCCGCATTAGTGCGCCGTCTGCACTCATCTGGACTTTTGCTGGTCTGGTTTGAAGATTCTCAAACGTAACTAGATGAACTTTTGTCGTAATAATTGACCAAGGGTAAAAAAAAATTGTAGTCGTAATAATTGACCAAGGGTAAAAAAAAGTGTAGCTGAGTAGGAAAACCACCGCCTGGTAAGTTTCAGTCCTGCATATTATCATCCACTAGGAGCTTGAAAAAATACTTTTTTCAGTAAGCTTCTAAATGTAACAAGATTTTACTTATCTATTGAGAAGTTCAATAATCAAATTATCAGGTAATTTTATCCTGCACAAGTGTCATCTGCTAGGCTAATCGAAAGGTTCACTTTTTTGCCCTCAGCATTCATCTGGAATTTTGCTGATCTGATTTGAGGATCTTTAAACATACCTGAGCAAACTTTTTTTATCATGGTGGACCAAAAGTAAAAAAATTTGTACTGGTGATTCTTAGCATACAGAGTATGAAAACCATTGCCTTTGGTTTCAGTTCTTCCCATTATTAATCACTAGAAGTTTGAAAAACTAAACAAAATTTGTTCTAGTAAGCTTCTAATTTTCATACGATTTTATTTATTCTTTGAGAAGTTCAAAAACTAAATTACCAGGCAATTTTGGTCTGCACAAGTATCTGCCAGGCGAGCCAAAAGGTTCACCTTTTTACCATCTGCACTCATCTGGACTTTTGCTGGTCTGATTTGAGAATTATCAAACATAACTGGACAACATTTGTTGTAATAATTGACCAAGGGTAAATTTTCTCTTATGGTGATTCTTAGAATGCTGAGTACGAAAACCATCGGCTGGCAAGTTTCAGTCCTGCACATTATCATCCTCTAGGAGTTGGAAATAAACCCAAAACTTGTTTGTTCAAACTTGTTCCAATAAGCTTCAAAATGCGATTTTATTTATTCATTGAAAAGTTTCAAAATCAAACCTGGCAATTTCATCTGCACAAGTATCTGCCAGACGAGCCGAATTTTTTTCTTCTGCAATCACCTGGACTTTTGCTAGTCTGATTTGAAGATTCTCAAACGTAACTGAACAAAATTTGTCGTAATAATTGACCAAGGGTAAAAAAATTTGTCCTGGTGATTCTTAGCATGCTTAGAGTGCGAAAACCATTGCTTGGCAAGTTTTAATCCTGCACATCATCATCCACTAGTAAGCTTCCAAATTTTATACGATTTAATTTATTCATTGACAAAGCTCATAAATAAAATTGCCAGGCAATTTTAATCTGCACAAGTATTATCGGTCAGGCTGGTCGAATGGTTCACTGTCTCGCTGTCTGCATTCATCTGTACTTTTGCTGATCTGGTTTGAGGATTTTCAAACATATCTGAATAAACTTTGTTGTAACAATTGACCAGGAGTAAAAAATTAAATTCTTAGCACAAAATTGATCGTCATCAAACCTGCCAAAGTTCAGTTCTTTACATCAGGATTTTTTACTAGGAGTTTGAAGAACAAAACAAAACTTGTTCCAGTAATCTTCCAATTTTTATACCATTTTATTTATTCATTGAGAAGTTCAAAATCAAATTGTCAGTAAATTTTAATCTGCACAAGTATCTGCCAGGCGAGCTGCTGGTCCACTTTTATGTGAGCAAGATATATATGCATCAAAATAATCCTTGATGCTATCAGGTTAAAAAATATTAATGTGTTTGTTTAAGCAAGAAAAGTTTATATTTTTTTATGATTAATTTGATCGATTTTGACCATAATTTCATTTTTTAATTTTTACATAATATAATTTTTGTTATGATATGTATTCTCAACGTTACTCCTATTTGATTACTTTACTCACACTAGAAGATCTTTTCCTCGCCTGGTAAGGGTTTATAGACTGGACAGAATAACCTGGCATAGTACACACTTTTTTTTAAATCACTTAAACAAATACATATACAAATATTAACCTTACAAGACCAAGTTTAATTTGATGCATATACATCTTGCTCATAAAAGTGAACCTTTCGGTTCGCCTGACAGGTTGAAATCACTTGGCAACTTCTTAATGAACAAAAAAATCGTATAAAAATTTCAAGCTTACAGGAACAAGTTCAATTTTCAGTTTTCGTTGCATTTGTAAATTGCTGATGGATGATATTGTATAGGACTGAAACCTGCAAGGAGATCGACCAGTACAATATTTCTAACCTTACAGGAACAACGTTATTAAAAATGCCCACTTTGTCTTGATTTTTTCATTACCATAATTTTTTAAGGTACAGCAAGGTTTAATATAATCGTCTATCTTTATTGATGGATGTGATATAATTTTTTCTTATGCTATATTAAATAATGTTATTATTGATTCAATACATGATATTTATATGAATATTGGTGATCTTTACTTTGAGAAATCTTTCACTCTAATTAGTCTGATGGTTTCGTACAAATGCCTTTACGCACTTTATGTCCTTACATTACGCACCGGCTTGCATTTCTGGGTATTAATATCCTGGGGTCAAAAACCCCTGGACGGTTTTCTCCTATTTTCTAGGAATAAAATTCTAAGTTGAAATAACAAATTTATTTTTTTTTGAAACACTTTCATTTATGTGTTTTTATTATTTCTTTTGTAATACTATCATATTACATATGGGGATATTATTACAAACATTTTTAAACCATTGTCTAAATAAAAATTCACTATTTTGGAAGAAAAACTTTATCCTTTTCTGCTTACATATGACTGAAAAATTCATAGAAATCTTAAACTAATTGAATGTTTTTGTATTATTGGTTATTCTAAGTGAAGTCTCATTCTGATAACTAGACTTCACAAAAATTAAAATTGAATTTGTTGATTTAAAATTGATTACGTGACTTACAAAAAATGTATATAAATCTTATACACGTATGAATCGAGTGTTTTCGATTTTTCGTAATTTTGATCTGTTTAATGATAAATTAAAAAATCAAACTTACTACTTTATAAAGATCTTTACCTAGTTTGATCTCTGCCTATCATAAGGCTAAAATTTGCGATAATGCCTGTATATCTAAAGATTATTTAAGGTGATTCCAAAAAATAAAACCAGTCTCCGATTAGCATGTACTTCGCAATTGTGTGATCCAAACATGTGTATGGATCCATTTTTTGGTATAATCACTTCAAATGTAATCTTAATGCGTTAGAGAAGATTTTATCGAAAGTTTTTGAAATATCATAAATTGGGAATACACAAAACTTATCCTAAGTGTGGTTTTTAGCAAAATTTGATACTGAATGGTATTAATCTTTTGTCTTGATGTCGTTCGTCTTTACTGCTGATGTCTTTTAACTTTGGATCAATTAATTAGGATATTTAAGTTTTTATGGGTTAGAGATTAAATGAATAATGACATCAGTCGTGGATTACGTGAATAACAATTAAAAAAATTGACCTTACACCAAATTGAGCAAGTCTGGAGAATCCAAAACCAAATCAAACAATTCAATTTGATGTCACAAATGATCCTTATAAATTAACCTTGCATTAAATAGGTCTATAAACAACCAAAAATATCATACTTTGATATAAAAAACATATTGTTAATAATGTTTTTTTTTTCTCTTTCAGGCCAAAACTGATGAACAATTAGCCGACGAACAAGCATGGAGCGCTCCGAGTGCAGACGCTGTCTGGTTGGTGCATCGAAATGGTTTCACATCGGCCATCAGGTTGCATCAGGATGGATCCAGGGTCAAAGTCAGGATTCTGGCCAATGGGCAAGAATTGACGGTGGATGAGGATGACATCGAAAAGGTAAATAAATGGTTTTGTTATAGGTTTTATACATCAGGTCCGATATTGTTCGAGAGTAATCTTAGTTTTTTTTAACCAACCCATTGGGTATGAAAATACTGCTAAACAGAGTTTCAAATAGCCCCAAACATTAGCAGTAATTTTGATAAGTTTAAGCACTCATCTTACCTTTTGTCATTTACCAGGTTGTATAAACTAGTATTCTGGGTTGCCATTTACCAGGTTGTATAACTAAAGCTGGGTTGCCAGCTTTTAAACCTGATGCCCTTTCTTGATCTACCAAGATTGATTTATACTAAGAATCTTTTCTTGATTAAAATTTTGTTGCAAACCAATTTTGTTGCAAACCAATTTTGTTGCTGACGTACTATCAACAAATCTTTTTTGTGCACATCACTTTTTTTGTATCTGGAGCAATCTGGATTTTCTATTTTTTTATAGTAAAAATGTGTCCGAAATATATATTGCTTATTGCTCGCCACCAACCAAAATCAATTCGACTTTTTCAGAAATAATAGTTTCAAATGAATACGTAGCATTAATTATGCTTAATGTACAGTTTGAAGCAAATAATACAATTAAAATCTCTGACTCGACTGCCTGATGTCAAGCAGTAATAGCATTGGTTTTTATTTTTTTAGTTTTTTACGCTTCTGAGCGTAAAAATATTTTACAGAATTGCTGTTTTAATCAAAAACTCGTCAGTATTTAAGAAATTCTAATAATAAATTATGTCAAACAGAGATAGGCCCACCGTTGGGTTGCCTTAGTTAAGAAATATTACTATAACATAGGACTGCTCATAGAGCTCTTAGTTCTGAATGCTATGCAAATACTTCATAATAAAAAAATCCTTGGCAAGAAAAAACTTATGATTTTTCGGATAATTCTAATAAGGAACCTCAACTTATATAAGTTTACTTAAAAGAAAGTTTCTCATTTTTGTATAGTTTTTTCTTATTTATATTCATTAAAAATGTTTTTTAATACCTATCTCTCATAAAAAATGAGAAATATTCCAATTATTTTTTCTATGTAGTGTTTTCTTTAATAATCTGACCATCAAAAAGTTTCATATCAAGAAACCTTGGAAAATTGCTCTCTTATCAAATCAACTAATAATTGAGATAAGTTGCTGATAGTTGTGTTTAAAGAATTATATATTTATATTTCTATTTATTAATCTGGATACAGGGTTGGACTTGCTATAGAAAAAAATACACTAATAAAAACTAATTATAAGAGGCTTACGGTATTCGACGGGTAACTATTTTTAAAAATATTTATAATAATAACAGATTGTTTAAATGATAAAATGTCAGTTTTTGATAATAAAAAATCTTTTAAATTCGCCATTTTTTTAACCGATAAAGTGACGTGCTGATTAGTTTTTGGCAAAGGTAGGTCTACCCGTTTCGGAGATACGAGGCAAAAAGTGTCAAAAAATATCTCCGAAATGGCTAGACCTGCCTTTGCCAAAAAGTAATCAGCACGTCTCCTTATTAGTAGGAATCGAATGTTTTCTGAATTATTCAAATCGGTTGATCCGTGTTCGCGTAATCGTCGACGAAAAATTGTGTCCGCACACGCACGAAACGTAAAGTGAAAAATATATACACATTAAATATTCTTTATATACAGTTTGTTAGCAAAATAAATTCAAGACAATTATATTCAGAAACATACTAGAATATTTGGGTTTTTAAAAAATTGGCAACGTTATTGAGGAGCTGATGACGGCCACTAAATTTTATAATATGCAGTGGTATACATCTTTTTGAAAAACTTTCCTTAATTTTTTATTACTACAAGGGATCAAAATCTTATGATTTTTTTGCCACCAAAAGCATACAAATAATAAATAATCAAACAAATAACAATGTTACTGAAATCATGAGTCATGGTCCAATAACATGTGCCTGTGAAAATTAGGACCTTATCGCTAAATGTGCACATTTCAAATATTATCATCTTAGTTCCCACACAAAATCAATCGAACAAGTTCTATTAAAATTTAAACAACAGTAGTATAAAAGTCTTAAAACGATTTAAACATGTGAAACAAAAAATATTAATATAAAAATTAGTAACATCTGAAATCACAAAAGGTCTGAAGGATACCAGTATTTTTGTTATAGTGATATCAAGTATCAGTATATAAAAAAACAGTGCTTTTATACTAATATTTCTATTTCTCCAATTTTCTAATTTATCGTTCGATAACCTTCCTAATAAAAGTGTAGGATTATTTATCAGGTTAATAGAGGATTAAATTTTGTTTAGAAAATATTCATAATCTTGCATGTTTTCTTATAAGAAACCTGAAAAACTTTTAAGCTTGTTAATATGAATTATATATCAGACTACATTTGCATATATTTAGTTGCTGTGTATCTAATTGATTGTGACATACGTTGAAAATAATATTATAATCCATAGTTGGTGAAAGAAAATCTTTGAATTTATAGTTATTTGATGAGTGTAAAAATTATAAATGATTTATTTTGTTGTATTATGGAGTTGCTGAAATTTTGTGCTTTTTGAATATTTTGTGGCATAGTTGAAAACCGTTTTGAGAGGCAGTGTGATTATTTTAAAACAAGTTTGTATTTAAATGGATTACCAATAAAGTATAATTTTAGGTAAGATTTAAAATGAAATTGTTCAATTGTATAAAAAAGAGTGCGCGTAAGGATCACACGCGACTGAAGTAAAACTTATTTGCTACTGTACAAGAATGCATTTAAGTAAAAATAAATACATCATTTAATAATTTTGAATAATGTTTATTAGTAATATGGTAAGACTAGTGATGCACACATTTATTAGTGTCCACCATTATACACATTTATATAATGATAAATTATAAATGATATATTTATAATATCATTAAAAATATGTATAATATTTAAAAACAATAATGTAATTAAAGTTATTCTTCAAATATGACATGATCGGTTTGTCATTGTAATTAGCATTTAGAAATGATTACTTTTATTGTTTATTATTTTTCTATTTTTTTCTAATTTCTAACAAAAATATTTTACAATAATGCACATTTTTATACTATGTCTTATTTAATATTAGGTGATCAACCAATATTTTCTGATGAATGAAGGTTAGAATGTTAGTCAAAACGTATGGATATCAAATAAACTTACAGAAATTGATATGGATGAATTGATACAATGTTGTATCATTCATATTAACATAAAAATCATGTTTATATAATTGTATAATATACATACATTTTGATTATTTTTCGTTTTATATTTAGTTTATATCAAATTATTATCTTTTGGATAAAATTTACATGAATATAGTACTCTTTATATTTCAGTACACTAGTATTTAATGTTTGAAACAATAATTCTATTTTAACACGTTGACTGCCAACTACGAAATAACCAGTAGATTGTGATCTTTTCTAGGACACCAACTGCGAGATAATTCGTAAGGCCTTTATTTTTTTGGGGAGACATTTTTTAAATTTTAATATGTGCATTTTTTTTAAAACTATGAACTAGAAATAGATTTTAATAATATTGTAATTACATCGAATTGTTATTCTTGGATAGGTTTTTTGAAATTGCCGTGGCAGTCAACGTGTTACATTGAATAAATTCGTGATATAAATAATGTAAGACCATTTACTATTGTTAATGTTTTATTGGAAACATTAGACATTATTCTATTAGTAAGAGACTAATAATTATAATAATAATTATAGACTAATAATAATTAAATATTATTTAAAAAATGGGTTAATATTATTAAACTTACCGTTAGTCTGAATCTATTGTTATTAATATTTTTATTTTTTTATCATTAGGCGAATGCTCCGTCTTTGGATTTGGCCGAAGATTTAGCCAGCCTGCACTTCCTGAACGAGGCGTCAGCTCTGCACATCCTAAGACAACGGCACCATGCAAGTCTGGCGCATACCTATGCAGGAAATACGCTTATAATTGTGAATCCGATGACACAATTGTGTTTATACTCTGATAAGGTAAGGTATAAAAAATTATAGGAGAAGTACGGACAAAACGATACAGTGTTATAATTAGTTTCAATCGTTCTTACTCATCTTAGAATAATTGACTACCAGCAACATAGTTTTTAAGGGAAAATACAACTAATTATAAAAACCATTTTGTCCATATAGCACAGACTAAATGAGATGAGGTAAGGACATAATGGCAATGATATATAATATGTGCATACTTTTAAGAAGACAGTTCACAAATAAATCGTTTGCTCCTTTTTGCGACTTCACTACCAGTCCAAAGGCTACATGTCACACATCGTAACCAACCTTTTTTTATTTGAATTTTAATATAAATTGTAGACATCTTAGACAGACAGAAGTGCCTGATACGAGAAATTGTACAAAATATCTATATAATAGTATATAACCTTCACCGGACTCAGAACGGGAAAAAGACTTCTTTGCAATAAATGCACGTCTTTTCATTTTACCGTGGGATACTTTGGTCTATTTTTAGAAAAAGTTAGAGTAAACCTTAAAAGTCAGTCACCTTCAAAAGTTTCAATATTCTTTTTTCTTGGCCTCGAATGAACTATCCTGTAGTAAAAAATATTTTACAGCGTTGCCTTTGTAATTTAAAACTCTTCAGAATTTAAGAAATTCTATTAATGAGTTCTATCAAATAGAGATAGGCCTTTAAATCACCTTTAAAAGGTTTCAATTTTCTTTTTTCTTGGTCTCGAATGAACTACCTCTTTGTAATGGTGAAGTAGTACTATGTCATTTTATTCTTGGTATAAATATATCATTTTGTCCAAAAGTGAACAACAATGAATAAATAATCCAAATTCTATCAAACACCACCTGATTATTGCAGAAAAATTAATCGAAATCACTAGTACTGGCAAAAGTTTATTGATTGTACTATAAATAGTTACTAATAACAATAGATAAGTTTTCGAAAAAAAACATGAATGAAACGCCCTCAAAATGAACTTTTGAAGGCGCGGTACACTTCGAACTGATTACTCTGACAATGACGTTCAACATCTGACACGATTGCGATTATGGCTTTCTTCATGTCGCGGAAAGGTTACAAAAACTAGCCCATTTTTAACCCTTTCGACTCGGATGCCGCCGCTCCGGCGGCATAGTCATTTTACCGTTGTGCTCGGATGCCGCCGCTCCGGCGGCATGATATGTTTTACCGTTGAGCTCGGATGCCGCCGCTGCGGCGGCAAATCGTGTCGGCGACGACTCGTCGCAAACTAAACTTACATTTAATTTTTTTTTATTTCTTAAAAATTAATTTACTATTACATTCATTTATTGATTGATTTCTTAATTTTATAAATAAATATATAACAAAATTAATTTATTACCTCATGATCCCCATAATTCTAATAAAGATCTGTGAAGAAATGATTTTTTAAACAATATAGCATGGTTTTGAGTGCAATTTTTTTTAATTTTCAAAATTTTCTATTTTATTATCATAATAACTATATTTAAAAGCAATATAACCACATTTTGAAAAAATCCCATAGAAAAAAAAATTCCGAGTTGAGAGATAAGTATAGCACTATAATATTCCGAGCGCAGCGTACCGACTGGCAGTCCGACTCCCGAGTCGAAAGGGTTAAATAAGGCCACTGTGTCATTTTGTCCATATATGCCATTTTGTCCGTATTTCCTCTACTTTCTTAAATGATTATTAACATTGTTACGCAAAGATCGTAATGAGAAACAAATGGATTATAAAACAATTACGTTTCTTTTCATTGCAGGTCGTATCGTTGTTCCGAGGTTGTAAACCAGAAGACATGCCTCCTCACGTCTACGCTCTGGCACAATCTGCCTACAGAAGCATGCTGGTGCAGAGAAGAGACCATTCTTTAGTATTCTTAGGACGCTCTGGTAAGTATAGTACTTGAAGGAGAAGTTTGTTTTTTACAGAAATTTGGTAATTTTATTTTCTCGACATTTCGAGTCACTCATTTTTGGCAATAATCGATCGTATCGTCTCTTGGTAAATTAATGTTATTATTTTTGCTTTTTCAATACAACGAATTTTATGAGTCAAACAGGGATATCCTAAAATAGTATAGTCATATGAAAGGTGATTATATATGCGTATCGGAAATAAAGGTAAGGCAATGCCACTTACATCTAGTACCGGTTGCGAGATGTTAATGTAGACTATTTATATACACTGGTCAGAATCCACATTAATGGTTTGTGATGGTATGGCATAATAGTGCCTTAAGGCAAATTGCTGGAACTTCCCGTACTGAAAATTGAAATGTTTAAAAAAGCTTTAATTTTTTTTTGAATACTTTGAAAAAATTAGATTTTTGAGAATTTTGAACGTTTTGAAAAATTTGAAGTATTATTTTTTTTTTAATTTTTTGTTCACTTTCTTCAAAGTAATCGCCCTGTGTTAGCTGCGTTATTAATTATTAAAATCTCTTTAAAATATCTGATAAATGGAATTTTTTTACATTTTTTATTGAATCTCTGAAATCGCTAGGGTTGCCTTCCCAAAAAATTTACCGGTTTTTTAATTTGTTAAAGAAATGAAATATTTTTTGAATCATTCAAATTGGACGCTCTATTATCTCAAAAACTAAATTACCATTTTTTGCACTTTTTGCCCCATATTGATGTGTGTGTGTTTTGTGTGTCCGCATTTTTTCGTTCACGTTCTGGCGCACGGATTAACCGATTTGAATGGTTCAAAAAACATTCGATTCCTATTGATAGGGAGATGTGATGATTAATTTTTGACAAAGGCAGGTCCAGCAGTTACGGAGATAAAGAGTAATGAGTGCAGGAAGTAGAAATCGAGTTTTTGAGAGAACGGAGCATCCGGTTTGAATCATCTAAGAAACATTCAATTTGTAATGTTTGGGAGAAGTGGTGATTAGTTTTCGGCAAAGTTAGGTCTAGCCATTTTGGAGATACCGTGCTAATTGTGCAAAAAATGACGGTTTTTGAGAGAAATAAGCATCCGAATTGAATGATTCAAAGAACTTTCTGCTTGTTTTAACAAAATAATTGTCTTTGAAAAAAAATTGTTTCAATTGTTTATTTTTCAAAAATTTTTTTTAAAGAATTTTTTTTTGTATATTAAAAATAATTCAGATTTTAATTTTAATTTTGACTATAGTTCTACTATACTTTAAATAAATAATTTTAACTTTGCAATTCAGTTTATATAATTCTTCTAAATATTAGACAATGTTACAATATTTATAATAATCTATTTGAAAACATTCAATATTCCTCGAACATTTTGTTACGGTACGGGAAGTTCCAGCAATTTGCTTTAAGGCACGATGCCATACACCACTAGTTTAGATAGAATTAATACCGGCATTTCCGGTTTTAAAAGCGAAAATACCGAAATACCGGTATTGCAATTTTTTGTCGGTATTGCATTTCCTAGTTTCTAGTAACCAACAGAAAATATTTGCTTCTTTCGATTGCACCAACGTGATGGCCTTGACATCGGGTTTTCAGCGCAGATTACCGACCATTCCCGATCCCTAAACTTCACATGTGATCGCCTTTTTTGTTCTGAGAGAATAGACATGTATACCACGTTCCACCATAACCTACAAATCTTTTGGAGCTTTTTCTTTTCTTTTTCAAATTGCGCAAACGTAATTCATTTAATCCATTATATATAATAATATGATGTTAATATATGTTTATATTTTTAGGAAGCGGCAAGACTACTAGCTTCAAACACGCCTTATATTACCTGGCATTAGCAGCTGGATCCACAAATCGATTGTTAACACCAGAAAAACTGAATGCTGTTTATAATTTATTAGAATCATTTGGAAACGCTCGAACCAGTCTTAACCAAAACGCGACCAGATTTGCTCAGATATTTAGCCTGGACTTCGATCAGAGTGGTGTGATTGCTTCTGCTTCTATACAGGTGGATAAAGGAGTTACCTTGTTGTTTTGATGAGATGTACATTTTAGTGAACTAACTACATTTTTTAATTGCAGGTGTTATTGCTGGAAAGAGCTCGTGTAGCAAGACGAGTGCACGGTGAAGCAACTTTCCATGTTTTATATCGTCTGATATCAGGTGCTGAAGGAGCTTTACGAAGAGAATTATTACTACAAGAAACTCATGGCTCAGTCAATGGATCCCCAGGTGAAACAGGTATGAATATTATTTCTGTACATAATTATTTAATGAATTTCAACCTTACTAATGTATTTAAATATCACTTGTCTCTTTAGGTGGTACCAATCCATTTTTCACACCTTTCTCACGATTGGAAGACAAGCAGAAAGCTTCCACTGAATTTCAGCGTCTGCAACAAGCCATGGAACAGTTGGGTATTTCAGATAAAGAACAAAAAGCTATTTGGCGAACTGTTGCAGCTATTTATCATTTGGGATGTGCGGGTGCTGCCAAAGGTAAAGGAAATAAATTAATCATTGTATCATTTCAAGTGATATATAAATCACTTCAAATTATATATATATATATATATATATATATATATATATGTAATTAAATCATTTCCCAGATTGAGGCACATTATTATTTAATTACAATAAGTTGTAAATCATTAGAATTTTTAGTTCTAAATATTAAATTGTTATTATTTTTTATTATTTTAGGTGGTAGTGGAAATCGATATCAATTTGCAAGTGCTTCAGCAGCACAAAGAGCTGCCACTTTACTAGGAACTACTGTAGAAGAATTGAACAGAGTTACTTTTGGACAACAAAGCGGAAATACTCCAGCCACCCCTAGGGCAGCTTATAGGTATGTCAATGAAAAGACTGATATAATTGATCTATTATTCACTATATAAAAATATTAAATTCAATTGTTACTATTTTTTATAGAACTCCATCTCCAACGGGTCCATCAGACAGAAATGAAGTTGTAGGATTAGAAGCTTTAGAAGGATTGCTCATTGGCCTATACACCGAAGTATTTAATTGTATTACCGGACTAATTAATAGGTGAGCATTCAACATGCAAAAATATTTTATTAAATTAATTCCATCTAATTTGATTATTTAATTTACTCTTTAGATCAATATCTACTTCAGCACATACTGTGCATTCTTTATTACTACTGGATTGTCCAGGATTCCAAAATCCTGCATCTGCTGGACAACAAGGTGGAGCAACATTGAATGACTTAATTCACAACTATTTACAAGAGAGATTGCAGTTATTGTTCCATAATCATGAGCTGATGCAACCAAGGGACAGATATGCTCAGGTAATTCTGAAACAGCTACTTTTATAAATTATTATTTAAATAATTACGTTTATATATCCCATTTTTTTCTGTTATAGGAGCAAATAGAATTAGATGGATACTGTGATTCAGGTTTGAACCCAGAGCCTATGGTTAACATGCTGGATAAAACAGCTCAAAATTCTTTGATCAGAACCAGTCAAACCGATATTAGAGAATCAGATAGAAGAGGATTATTATGGTGCATATTTACACAAATGTTTTTAATTACAAAATTGCATCAACTCTCACTAATGCTACAATTATATGTGCTTGCAGGTTGTTAGATGAAGAATCTTTATACCCTGGTTCTAGTGATGAGACATTCCTGGAAAGATTGTTTTTACATTATGGTGATCGTGAGAGCCAAATATTATTGAGAAAAGCTCCTGGTTCTCTCCAATTTATATTACACCATCTTCAAGTATGCATTTTATTTATTAATTAAGTATTATAATTTAATGTTTATAATTATTTGTTATTTTTAGGGCACAAACCCTGTTTTATACTCATCATCTGGTTGGCTAAGAGGTAGTAGAGAAAATCCTGTCTCAAAAATGGCAATAAGCATATTGCAAGAGAGCACAAAGTAAATTGATAATATCTATTATTGATAATTAAAATTTCAAATAGCATTTTAAGTTATTTTATTTTTTTGCAGGGAGGAAATTAGCTCACTGTTTGTGAGTATGCGTGGCTTAGGACCAGCATCATTTTTAGGTGGTTCCATTGTTGGCATAGATGGTTCTCAAAGTCTTAGACGTGCATCTAGTATCCGGAGAACTTTCACATCTGGTAAGATCAATAATTTTATTAATGTAAGTTTTATATCAAAGGTTTCAAGTATTTAAAACAAACATATTTTTATGTTCAAATAGGTGCCGCTGGTATGAAGAGAAGATCAGTATGTTTGCAAGCTAAATTTGCAGTAGATGGTTTGATTGATACATTGAGAAGAACACGAATTCTGTTTGCTCATTGTTTTCTGCCACAACACCAGGAAAATATTACTGCAAATGGCAATCCAGTTGATATTAATGTGCCTTTGTTACGTAGTCAGGTGAGTTTATCTTAAATTTAAACTACTCAATAAGATTTTAATGGATTTACCAAATAATTAATATTCTAATAAGAATGTTTTTGGACTTATTGTTATTATTTATGATGATAATTTAATCAGTAAATACATACATGATACATATACCAGTATTGAACAAGTATTGAAACACACATTACACATTTTCTGCAACAAATGTAACTTAACAATTGTAAATTCACTCACGAAATTCGTAGTTGGTTTGACAATTAAAGTACTGCTTTCGAACAATTATTTTAAAATTAATGTGTTCTTGCTGCAAGAAACACATTTTTTAAATATATTTTCAATGTATTTTATAGGCAGCTTAATAATATTTAAGTGCTTATATAAATACAACTACAAAAAGAAAAGAAGTAAATGTTACAAATACTTTCTTATTTGGATAACAGCATATTAGTGGTTTTTACGGTTCAACCGATTTCAAAAATTTAAAAGCCATTTTATAAGGATAACTTGATAAGGATTAATGTTGGCACAGATTTGTACGATGATCGGTCAAACCGTTTCTTTGTAATTAGCAGGAAAGTATAAAAAAATTGTCCACGTTTTAGTCCACAATTTTTAATTACAATTCAAAAACTGTTTGCAAGATTGCGTTGATCGGCCGGGACGTTTTTTCATTAATTAAAACGTGAAAAAATATTTTATGAACGATTTTGAGGAAACGAAGGACTTTGGTGTCGGAGATAAAATACTATAAGATTATAGGCTTACAATAAGCGGGTTGCATTATAAAAATCTATCATACATAGTTTAGAATTTCGCCGTGAGCTTGAGCGATTCTAATCAGAATCTATGCCTGTGCATATGTAAGTTTTGTGGTGTTTTGTCGGTAGCTACTGATTACAGTTGACGACAAAACTGAAATAAGACACATTAGAACTCGAAATAGATTAAATGAAATGTATTATTTAAATAAGATAATTTATACAGATATTTAGATATTATAAGTATTTGCAGATATTATAAGCAACTTTCCACAATTGTGCAGTTTACGTTAGGCTAAAACGCTACTTACAGCTAGTTGTTCTTTTCTTTACAATCGCTTCATTTTTCTATTTTATATTAATAATTTTGTAGTTTTTAACTTCGCTTAGGGTAAGTTAAGGTAAGGGGCCCAGTTTCTGACCTTTTTAGAGTGACGGTGGAGGTTAAACTATAATAATTAATATAAAACTTAACTTAATGAAGAAAATTATAATTTTATCTATTAGTTTAGGATTTTTAAAATAAAGTAATGTGCATAAAAAAATTATTTGAACTAAATTTATATTTTAAATTGACGTTTTAAAAATTGACATTAAGAGCTCCAGTTTCTGACCCTCAGAATTCTTCGTGTGGCAGTTTCTGACCCTGACCGTAGCCCAATTTCTGACCCTCAAATTTAATCATGATTAGGTTATGAAGTGCTTACTAATTTTTAATAAACTGAAATTATTATTAAAATAAATAAATTAAATATTTATTCTAAAAATATACAGTTTGTTAAAATTTAACGTATAAATAGTTCAAGCCTTGTTATAACATATTACACAAACAAAAAAATTAAAATTAATTATTGAAATTACTTGGACTTTTTTTTATTTTAAGAGCTTTTTGTTTCTTTTTTTCTTCAAGTTTTTCTTTTTTAATTATTTTTTCTGCCTCCTTGATGGCTTTATTTTTGGACCTTTCAGCTTTTTTCAATTCTTTTTCTTCTTCTAATTTTCATTTAATTAATTGTAATTGTATAATTGTATAATAATAAAAATATTAGTAAACTAAAACAGTCATAATTTAAGCGTTGATAAAACTGACATTTTTTATTAATAATTTTATCACTTAAAAGATGTATTTACAAGATTTAAATACAATCTTTCATTTATACCAATGAATATTAAATGTAAATTTATCACTTTACTACGAAAAATAGTAAAAAAAATATAAGATAACAATAAATATTATTATTTTTACATTTAATGAACAAGTGACTAAAAACATGTGACAGATAACCTAGCTTTTAGAAGGTTAGAATTGCAGGGTCAACAACTGTGACATACACTTAAAATTGAGCCTAGTTATTGACCCTCAAATTTCAGTAATAAAACTAAATTTAATATGTTTTATAAATATTTTAAAATAAATTTTAATTAATTATTGACTTATTTGTATATTTTTAGTTAGATTTTCGTACTTACATCATAATTAGTGCACGAACTCAATTGTCGTAGCTCCTTACATAAACTGTTTAGACTAAAGCTAAAAAATGGCTTCCACAGTCACTTTTGGTTTAAAAAAATTTTTTTATTTAGTTAATATTTTTTATATTTTTTTAATTGACATTAATGAGGCATAGAATAAATTACTGTCAATTAAGAAAAAAATTATTTTCACATTAAATGTATAGTTTTTTAATTAATTCCAAAAAAAGTTGAAAAGGTCAGAAACTGGGCCAGGGTCAATAACTGGGTCTTTTACCTTATAGTAATCGCAAAAAATTGAAAATGCATTTTTTTTGCATATCTTTACGTTTTAATGTCTTCTGAACATTTTGACATACCTTAGAAAAAATGGTCTATGTGTGTGTGTGCGGATACAAATTTTTGTCGACGATTTCGGGAACACGAAATTTCTATGGGTCCATACCAAAGTTATCCGTTATACTGGAGCGCAGCGCCCACGCGCTTCGATATTTCGCTTCTACGCAGCTAACGTATCGCGATTGCTTTAAAAAAACAAGTTCAAAACTTCTAAAATATTTCAAAGTATAATAAAAAACATCTTTTTCAAAAATTTTAAAAGTTTTAATTATCGATTTTTTTTATGTTTCTAGAAATTTTAAATTTTTGGTACGGGAAGTTCCAGCAATTTGCCTTAAGGCACGATGCCATACACCACTTCTTCTATTTTATATTAATAATTTTGATGTTTTTGTTATGTTTTTTAACTTCCCGTAGGGCAAGTTATAGTAATCGCAAAAAAATCGAAAATGAAAATTTTTGCATTTCTCGACGTTTCAAAGGTTTCTGAATATTTTGGCATACCTTAGAAAAAATGGATGTATGTGTGTGTGTGTGTGTGTGTATGTGCGTGTGTGTATGTATGTGCGGATACAAATTTTCGTCGATTTCGGGAACACTGATCAACCGATTTGAATAATTCAAAAAACATTCGATTCGTATTGATAAGGAGACGTGCTGATTAGTTTTTGGCGAAGTCAGGTCTTCCCGTACCGAAGATACGGGACAAAAAGTGCCGAAAACGGTAACTCCGTTTTTAAGAGAACGGAGCGTCCGATTTTAATAATTCAAAAAACATTTTACTTGTATTGACAAGGTGAAGAACCGATCGAATTTTCAAAAAGGCAGGTCTAGCGGTTTCGGAGATCTAATGAAAAAAGTAAAAAAAAATGCCATTTGGCGGTCAAAAATGATCATTAGACATATGCACATCAAATTATCAGATATTATATAGAGATTTTAACAAAATGTATAATTTTGGTTTACATTCCTATGGGTTCCGTACCAATGTTTACGCGTTAGACGTCGACGCGGCGCTTACGCGGTTTGATATTTCGTCTTTATGCAGTTAAAGCAGTACTACGATTGCTTTAAAAAAAAGATCTTTCAAAATATGTCAAAATAAAGAAAAAATTTTTTTTTTCAAAAAAAAAAAAATAAAAAAAAAAAAAAAAAAAAAATTAAAAAAAAAATTTTTTTTTCAAAAAAAAGTAATTTTTTGTCTAATTGTTTGTCAAAAATCTTATTTTTTCGAAGTAATTTTTTTTCAAAAATGTTAATCGTTTTTAAAAAAATAATAATTTTTGGTACGGGAAGTTCCAGCAATTTGCCTTAAGGCACGATGCCTTAATTGCCTTAAGACAGAATTCCACTTACAGCTAGTTATTTTTTTTTATTGCAGTTGCGTGGTGCACAAATTCTTGACGCCGTGCGATTACACAAACAGGGATTCCCGGAGCATTTGCCGTTGCCTGAATTCAGGCGAAGATTCGGCCTTATAGCGCTAGCGAACAACACCGGAGGAGGTATATACACCTTTATTGCAATTAACAATTATTTTATGCAATATAATATAAATGTTAATAAAATGTATTTTTAAATTTTCAGGAGATAAAAACACGGAATTAAAAATTCAAGACGACGTTCAAATCGCTCAAGAAGTGTTAAGTGCGGCTGATGTGGACGCTGCTTGTTATAGAATCGGCCCCAGCCAGGTTAGTGATTTTTTTTCTATTTCTTCGGGTTATATAAAAAATATTATTTCCTTTGTTTTGACTGAATATTTGTACTTAATGAAGCGGAAAGTGGAAGATAAAATCTTATATGTTTAAAATGAAAAAAAAAGGGATTTATTAGGAATATAATTATAAATTTTATCGTCATTTATATCAATTGGTGAAGAATTATGTTCATGGTCTAAGTGAAGTGTGTTTGACGTTGTGGATGATGAAGATTGAAGATCAGAAATTAGTCTCTTGGAAGGATATAGGATATCTTTTTAGTAAAATATATTGTTGCATAGGGTAGGATATTAACAATATTGATTCCTCTTAGTATCGAAAGGGATTAATGGGCCCTTATAAAATAGCGTTATTATGGCAACGCTTTGTTATGCTTAGTTCTTGGCAGTGAAAGCTGTAAAAATGTTTATCCGTTTGTTGTGCGATCAGGCATATTTTACATACTGCATCATCGAAGATTCTGTTATCATAACATTTGTTTATATGTAAAATCTGATCGTACAGCAAATAAATAGACATTTTCACAGTTTCACTACCAACAAACAAGCATAGGAAAGCGTAGCTCTCCTAACGCTATGTTATGAGACAGAATTGACCCATAAATTTCGAATAATTTTTATATTCTATTCTACAGTTTGAATTAGATATATTTGAACTTTCATATTTTGTTTTATTTGTTTTGCATTTTTGGCTCTTTTAGGACTTAATTTTGAAAAAAAGTGTAGGTTTTCTTAGTCTTTTATGCATATGTCCTACAAGTTCTTTTTCAGAAAAGAACTTAAAGTAAAAAAAACGTAAACAATTTAAATAAACTAATTCCACTAATATGCAAACAAAAATTAAATTTAAAAACTTATACTCGGACGTCTAATTCGTGGATTGGCATCCAAATTAGACAACTAAAGTTACTTCTAAATATTTACTAATTTTCAGAATGGAATAGGAGCAATTATAAAAACAAATAAAAATAAACCCTTTCCACTCGGATGCCGCTGCTCCGGCGACAAAATACATAATAATTCTGCAATTCTCGATTGGAAAGGGTTAATCACCGGTCAATCTAATAAAGGGTTAATTAGTTCATAGTGGTCTATGTATTGTTTTCGCGTATGTCAGTCATGGCTCTTTAACGTGTTAAAAAATGATACACGTGCTAATTCTCTAACAACTTACAATATTAGAAACGTTACATACATATTTTAATTTCGATTCTTACTACGTACAGGCGTTAATTATATCATTTCATTATTTTCTAATCGCAACAAATCAATCTCTTTAGAAAAAAATCGCCACTGCGCTTTAAAAAACAGGCCATCAATTCTTATCGCATTTGATCTTTTGTTGAATTAATTAGTGCAAAAACTACTTTAAATGGGCGGTATCAAACCACTTGATCTTTTGAACAAAAAAAAACTGGCAATCAAAATCGTATCACCAATAATGAAATTAGCAATTAACTTTCCATTTTAGGAAAAAATAAATATAAATAAATATAATGTGGAGTTTGTAGAATTATTTGCCAACCAATTTGAGTCGTGTCGCTTTTAAAATTGCTTCTGACCTGATATAGGATTTTTGAAAACTCGGTATATTTTTTGAAAAAATAAATAACTTGGATGAATCACTTAAATTTTTAGAGGGTCGAGTTGATTTGTAGAATTATGCTCCAAGTTCTTTTTTACAAAAAAGGCTTTTGGACGATTCATATATAAAATACAGGAGAATCTACATGCTTATTTAAAATTTAGTCTATTGGTTTCCAAATAATTTTGAGTCGTTAGACACCTTGCCATGTTTTTTGCTTTAGGATAGACCTCCAACTTTTCTCATTGTTTTGGAAAACTGTTCTGAAAATTTAAGGCTTTAAAATTTGAAGGAAAAACTAAAGTTAAATTTATACTTAACTGAATATAAAATTACAACATAATGTAAGCAATAAGTAAACGTTGTTAATTAGAATAATATTTTAATATTACATTATCACTGAGGTTACTCAAATGTACATTATGTGGAATTCTAATTTAATTGATTTAGACATCTTACTAGTTTTGATAGACCCTTGGATGGGAGTCGATATGCGTCACTGTGGGAAACACTGATTTAATCAATTTTCAAAACATTTGTCAATTTTCAAAATTTTTGTCACTTTTATTTTATTTAGACTTTTGATCATTATGTCAGGTACAATGATTGAAATTGTTAAATTAATAAAAAACACAAATTTAAAAATGTTGATCATTGTAAATATAGAGTTATTTCAGATATTGTACAATAGTGCGAAAAAATTAAAATTTTGCAAAATATTTAAATCAAGAAAATCATTTCCTTTAAAGATCACCTTTATCTTTTCCAATAATGTGATATTTGTGAAAAATTAATCAATTATCCTAATTCTTTTTTCTTGTCAGCTCTCCAACTATTATTATTCGCATAGTTTGATTATATTGGAACTTTTTTTGCTATTCGAAATATTTTTGTCACGGATCTGGACTTCTAACAACAGACAGAGCATTTGATTAGATAATGATCTTTGCAAATTATATCTGGTAGAAACGATTTCTTTTTTTTTGCTACTGTTATGTGATGTATAGCGAATTTGTTAGCGGATTCGACAATAATTAATTATGTGTATATATATATATATATATATATATATATAATTTTTTTTATTTATTATTGATTTGACTCAATACTATTTCGGTTCTACAGATAGCAACCCAAACAGTTGGCCCATCTCTGTGTGATTAGTTATATTATTACAATTTCTGTAATTAAGCGAATATTCTTATTAATGTAGCAATACCGAATGGGGGCTGTTTTTACTTGTAAACATTGCTGCCAAGTGAAAACTGATATCACTACTGCTTGACATCAGGCTCCTCGAAACGGGATCGAATCTAGGACCTCTGATTCAGGTCCAATCGCTCTAACCACTTTACCCGCGAGTGAGCCCAAAGCATAATTTCAAATTTTTATTTTGCAAATTACTTTTTTATCAAATTTAAATTTCTCCCAATTATCGCATACCTTTCTTGTCATCTCTTAAGAGCAAATCTTATCTCATAGAATTTTTCGCGTATCTATAAATGGAAATGCCCCTGGCAAACATTAGACGCACATTTTTTTTACAAACAATTTCGAAATTAGCAGTTGGTTATCTCTAGTTATTCGATTAAGATAAATTAATCTTAAAATGACGTGCATTTAAAATTATTATTAAATATCACTATTGGTATCAGAATGGATAGTGATAATTAAGAGGAGATTTATCTTAAAAATTCGGATATTGCTAAGTTTTATTTATAAATATAAATTATTAACTTTTCGAAGAATGAATAATATATATATATATATATATATATATATATATATATATATATACAGTGTCCCAGACCTCAACGTCAAGCCGAAACGGAGTAATAGCATTGATCTTAACTATCATGGAAAATATTAGAATTTTTTTGTTACAAGTGCAACCTAGAGCTTTGAGTGAAAATGTGTCTATTTTCGGTTCTTGTGTTCAATTTTTATTAATTTTGTTCATTTAATATTTGGATCCATATTTGTAAATACGTTTTCTAGGATCACAGTCAAAAATAATCATACAATTGCTTCTAGTTTACAAAAATTAGGACTTTCTGTTGAATTATAAACTTTAAATTTTCAAAATTGATCAGCTTTTGAGAGTCTCTCCTAAAAAAAAAAACGCACTAAAGTTTGTTGACAAGTTTCATTAAAAGTTGGCGTATTTGATAAGGATTGTTAAATGTTAATATAACTAGTAGTTTCGTAATAAAAAAAATGAGTAAAAAATTAAAACTTAAGAAATTATACGGTTTTGCTTGTACATTAGTAATTCACGAACTGATTGTGAGGAAAATGCACCAGGAATTTGTTACCATGTTAATTTAAGGTTTTTATTTTTTTACTCGATTTTTTTTTATTATGAAACTATCAAGTATTTTACCAATTTATAATTCTGATTTAATTCGCCAACTTTTGATGATATTTGCCAACACACTTTAATGCTTATTTTTTAAAAAGGGGTCTCTTGAAATTGACCAATCTTGAAAATTTTAAATTCGTAGTTCAACATTAAAACTTGAAAACATGGGCCAATTTTTGTAACATTATTTTTGGCTGTGTTTCTAGAAATGTTATTCACGGTTACGGTTCCAAAGTTTAAATGACCAAGATTAATGAAAATTAACCAATATAACCGAAAAACGGTCATAACTTCACCAAAAGCTCTAGGTTGTACCTAGGAGCTTATAATATCTAAACAATGTGAGATAATTTTTAACTTCCCGTAGGTTAATTTATAGTAACCGCCCAAAAATCGAATATCTTAGAAAAAATTGGATGTATGTGCGTGTGCGTGTGTGTGTGTATATGTATGTGCGGATACAATATTTTGTCGACGATTTCGGGAACACGGTTCAGCCGATTTGAATGTTTCAAAAAACATTCGATTCTTATTGATAAGGATACGTGCTGATTAGTTTTTGCCGAAGGTAGTTTCAGCCATTTCGACGATACAGAGCAAAAGTGGTCTGATTTCAATAATTCAAAAAACATTTTACTTCTATTGACAATATGAAGAACTCATAAAATTTTTGGTAAGGCAGGTTTAGCAGTTTCGGAGATCGAGTTAAAAAGTAAAAAAATGTCATTTGGTGGACATTTATGTGATATAATGACATCATTAGACTGTCTGAATGCACATCAAATTATCAGATATTGCATAAATATTTCTATGGGTTCCGTACCAAAGTTCATACGTTAGACTGCGCCGTTGAATTCTGGGACAACCTGTATATTATTTTTTTTTAACCAAGTAGTAAGAAACTTAATATAAAAGTGTCTATCAAACATCTAGGAATAACCCATCGAAATAACTTCGCAAAAAATTACGAATTCAGCAAAGTCGATGCGAAAAAAACGGCACAAAAGCGAAAGCGTTCGAAATGAAA